AGGGACACGACGCAAAAGGGACTCGACGTGAAATGGACACGACGTGAAAGGGACTCGACGTGAAAGGGACTCGACGTGAAAGGGACTCGACGTAAAAGGGACTCGACGTAAAGGTAATAAATCGAAAAATAAAAGGTAATGTTACCTGTAATGGTAAAGCAGTGGTCCCAAATTGATCCAATAGCCCCCCGGCTGTAAAATCGAGTATATCCTTTCAATGAACTCAATCACATTGGGTGCGCAGTCAATGAAGAAACATGTCGCTACGCAACTCCATTCCTCGGGGTCCGTGTACACCTGAACATAAAATATTTTTTTATTTAATTTATTGTTATTTATTAATTTATTTTTATTATTGAATGTCAGAATGTTTCCATGACATTCAATTATTTTTTGGGCAATTACTCCATTAGTTTGTTATAATTATTAATACAAAGATCGAATACTTAGAATTATTCCTTCGATCCGGCCGGATTCGAATGGACGTCTTCTAGCAAACCGTGTCAGACGTTATGCCAACTAAGCCACGGGATGAACCAACGGACCTCACGAATTCTTCTATGTGCTTGTTGTCGGTTTTGAACGACATTTTAGCCGTAGTATTTATGAGAAAATCTATGACAGTATTTCGTCATCCAGTTAAGTTACTATTTTTGGTTAGGTTAATAGTTAGTATTTTTTTTTGTACAGCACTTGGATAATTGTATTCTGGGACTTCTTTATGAGTAATATGACTTATTCTGCCGTCTGCTAACTAAACAGCGGCCAAGTGACAAAACAATTTTTTGAAATATTAAAAACCATAACCCAATTTTAGAATATTTAAATTGTTTAATGATTACATTTGTTTTACTTGTATTGTATTAGATTAAGATATATTGAAATAAATTTATCTTTATCTTTATAAATTGACAAGTCCCATGTGCCTGTGATTTCACCAGCACCCTTATCCTTCAAAACCCGAACGCAGTAGTTCTCACATTACTGCTTGGCGGCAAGAATAGGTAAGGTGACAGTGCTTCCCTGAACATACTCTTTCACAAAGAGCTTTATTGCTATTAAGTCTCTCAAAGTTCCGAGGATGAAAGCATTAAACCCATACGTACCTTGAGAAAGTCACCAGCTGTCATAGAGAAATTCGCGTGGCCGGGTTTGTCTCTTGCGGGACTCACATCTGGGAAGGTGGCGCTCAACAACTGGTGATCACAAGTTAAATTGTTCACATACTGATGCAACCAGGGATGGACTGTGTATTTGTTCGCCTGAAAATAAAAAAACAATTACCTAAGGAACAATGACAAACTCCCATATAAATTTTTGTTAGCATAATTTGTATGCTATGAAAAACATGTGAAAATATAGCGTAGAAATTCCTGAACAAATTTTGTTTTGGAGGTTATATGTTACGTAATTGAATGAAATATATTCGGTGTATTATTAAATCAAAATAAATTACAGAAGCCATAAATAGAGTTACTAGAAGTTGAATGGCGACGTGGTTTTTGACGTGACGAAAATTCAGAGGAAATTATTTTGTATACTGGTATGGTCAAAAGGCAGAGAACAAATAAGTAACGAGAACGGACACTCTCCGCCCCTCCTTAGCTTTAGATACCGCAATACGCCCCGCACATTGACGGTCACATTGACTGAACGAGAACAAGGCTGTCGGGGAGCCGTTTTCGCGCTAAGACGGCTTTGATATTTGAATATAGTTTTCATTTATTCATTACGACATTTGAACTTTAATATATAACATCATTTTACGTTACTATTAATAATGGTCGTGAATTGTGCTGTGTACGGCTGTTTATAATCATCTAAACGGGATAAAGAGAGGAGTTTCTTTCGTTTTTTGAAAGATGAAACGAAGTAAGTAAAAATACTTATATCTGAGACTCCGTCAGTTATTGTTTTCTTTAGTGCAGAGTAATATATAATACAGATGTATTATATTAATATAATAAGACGTCATAACTTCGTGAGCTAGACAAGGGTTCTCGAATTTTCTATTTCTATTGCCGATAAATATTACGTAGTGAATATACCTAATTATCAACGAGGAAATGATAAACTTGGACACGCAATTTCAAATACTTTGGTTACTTTATTTAAAGGTACCTGTCCAAAATATAACATTTTAAGTGCTTTAAATATATTTTTTAAATAAATCTTCAATATTATTCTAGTTAGTGAATTAAAGAAAAATATAATATTGTATCGATATAAATACCTACGTAATGAACATGTGTAATTATTAGGATTCTATAATAGAATTAAAGACAACAGATTAGCGTTAGAATTTTCGCTATGTTGCCGCTCTGACCACGTAACGTAATAGTACGAGCAAGTGATGGATAACCCTGCCACTTCACGCACACATTTGCGCGCGTGCAGATAGCGCCTTGCTGTATGTAGTAGTGTAGGTAAATAATTTTCGACTGTTGTATGGAGTGTCCGGGGTGTGATGAAGTTAAGGTATAACAAAAGCCAAAACAGTTAATTAATAACATACTACAGACTGTTGCATTCGTAACTAGGGCACAAATTATTTTTCTTTCTCTGATTTTGGGAACTTCTTGTCAGTTTTACCATTTTTTCGCGTGGCATTTTGGATAATGAATTACCAACTTTATTTTTTGTAATGAAGTAGTTAATCTATTATTATCTTATTACAAATCGGTCGAATCAGTCCATTTGATATTACGTGAACTAAATGTGGACCATATCCATACGTAGGTACTGAAATTCCTTTTTTGGCGGCTAGATATCGCTCAACGTTAAGAAACTGACAGTTGTAGATATCAGTCCGGTTACATAATAATTAGTTATTAGACTTTCTTATAAATATGATTTTATTTCCAGACTTGGATAGGCCGCTATTATAATTTGAAAAACCTAATGAATTTATTTTATTCAAACTTGTAATTAGATATTTGAAGACGCTAACGAAATATTTTAACTATGACTTTGCCATTGTTCTTTCATCATCATTATCATTTTCTAAATTGCTAAAATAAAAAAAAACTGGTTTTTGATCCCGATTGTGTTGCCAGATAATAAAATTATTTATGACCATAAACATAGCCTTTTATTATAGTTATTGCATTAAATGTTACTAGTTTTATCAGATTACAGCTTGAAAAGCGTTCTAAACATTTATTCTTGTCAAAAATAGGTAAACTACCATTTAAAATGTATTTTTTTCATCGGTTATCCCCTTTGTTTCCGTCATAGGTTCCTAAAATTTTTGGTAAGGCAAACCTAGGCAAGATATAAAAATTACAACGCCCACCGCCACAGAAAAATAATTGAAAACACGTTTTTTTTGTATATTAACTTAACACAAATTAATCACAATGTAGTGTAGTTTATATAGATAATCAGTGCTACCGCATTTTCTACCGCATTCCCCTGGACAACATCAACGACCCCCAATAGTTTCCGAGGCTCCTACCTCCCCCTAGGACTCTAGAAACTATGGTTTACATGTTGGACTTCTAATTAAGATTAATATTATAGTTAGCATTGTAATTTCTTAAATTAAATTAAAGGCCCCGGGTTCGAAATATATAATGGCCTAAATTTTTTTATCTTGTTAATTTGGATGTTATGTGTGGTCGTCTACGTGTGTGTCCATGGTACCCGCGACACATGGCTTCCCTAGTGCGGGCGTATGAATGAGTACGTATTAATCGCTTCAGAGAGTCTACTCCCATTGTCCATCCGACACCATTACTGCCAAATACGTTTTACTCGAGCAAATTAAAATACGCGGAATGCGAATGAAGTTTCATACTTGACGTTGTTTTGTGATTTAGTCGAGTATTAATTATTTGACAGTAATTTTTTCGAACAGATGTCGAACGGAGTACGAAAGTAGACTCCCTGGTTTGGAGGTTGATTGGTGGCACTGGTACTCTTTTTTTTTATTATACTAAGTGACGGGGCGAACAAGGTGGTAACCGACACGCCTGTACAGAACAGTTGCAGTGCCACTCAGAGCTTTAAATCACTAAGATCTGAGGGACTCTGCCGCTGCGTTCGGCCAATTTTATTTCTTTTCATCTCCCATTACCTTGGTAGGTAAGCAAGAAGCTAGCAAGAATTGTTCATTGCTCTCAAAAACTTTATACATAAAATAAGTGTCCGTCAGGATGGCTGGACCAAATCATATATACAAATCAAACTGTGCTCATTATTTACTACCCATTTTGTACTATTTTAAAAAATTACCTGTTTTGAAATATTTTCTGCCTTAGCGCTAACGGAAATATTAAAGAAATAAAGTGGCCAGGCTGACCACTTTTCGTTTTTCATGGTTCTAGCATACAATTTCGTATATAACTCACTTTTTTTATATAACTATTTACTATCTAATTTCTACCTAATATATACTGTTTTTGCGTAAAAGTTTGTTTTTAAAAAATAATAAAACGCCTTTGCAAAAGTTATCTTCTAAAAAGACGGTTTATCTTCTCCGCGTAATTGCTAATAATACTTTTTCAGGCGTTGAGAATATGCCCAAAAATGGTTTCTGGATTACCTTCGCAAGCAATATTTTATACCAATTTCTTTAATATTTCCGTTAGCGCTAAGGTAGAAAATATGCCAATAAAGGTTCTAAATATTACAAAATAGGCAGTAAATAATGAGATAGTTTGATTTGTTTAACTCGCTTGGTCCAGCCATCCTGACGGACACATAAAATCATGCATATCAGTAGATACGTTGCAAACTTTAGAATAATTATCTATATACCTATTAAATTTCAAATAAATTTGCATTGACAAAAAATGTTCTTTTTCTATGCCATCATTGGTCGCCTAGCAACGCTTTGTTATTAAAGATTCTATGTCCAATTTAGGTAGAGTAGAATCCGTAGTTTCCGCGGGGCGCTACCTTGAAACTTTGACTAGAGACAGCAGTATTATGTGACTTGAAATATATGCCATTCTCTATAGTAATAATAATATTGCAGTAATAGAATAATAATAAGAATAATAATAATATACCTGTAATGTATTTAATTCCATGTAATTGTTAAATTTTGTTTGATTTGTTTGTATCAATTGTATTTTTAATGCTATTATTTTATATATACTAAAATCTCTCACTCAAATCTGTTAGCAGTATGTCAAATATTATAAATAAACAGAAGTATAGTTTTGATACTGGTTACTTACCTCCGGACACCTATTAAGTATAAAATTGCTCGCAAACAGCATGAATAATGAGAACTCGTTGCCCTGACACGTGTAGCCCCGCGCTGCTATCTCCCAAGCGAGTCGGCCTAGCCCGGCACCGGGTACTAGAACTTTTATGTTTCGGAGGTCACTGGAAGAGAAAAAACATAAAATAAAAATTAAATTAACAAATCATCACACCCCATTACAAACTGCTGAGCACGGTCTCGTCTAAAAAGAAGGTTTCCACCAGAGTTTCTTAACATTTTTGTAGTCATGAATCCCTTTCAAAATTTCAAAGCGCCTACGGACCCTTTCCGAAAATATGAGGTAGAACTTCTTGCGGTGTACGGATAAACCTACGTAGGTGCTTATTGTGCCGCCAGGTTTAGATTAATATGTATTATTTTTATAAAATTTTTAATAATAAATAATAATTAAAATAAGAAAGGCTCGAGTGTTGAATTAATAATAATAATAACGCACATACTCAACATAGCCCCGGACTAGGGAAACCCTGTGACGCAGGCGCCATGGACCTATGGGCGCTATGATTTTCAGTGCTCACTGCAAAGTGAGCACTGAAAATCATAGCGCCGAGTCGTATTTCTAGTGCTTCAAATCATACTCAAGTCTGCTCAAATCCTGACTTGAGCATTGAGTAGAGTTCTAGAATACGACCCTTAGTGTGCGTGAAAGGCGTTAACAAAGGGTGTCACTAAACCTTGATCCTTGTAGGTGCATCCCACCGCTGAACACGGGTCTCTTCTAATATATCTACGAAGAGATATTGCGAATACTAAATTAGTCCTGGATCTAATAGCAGAAATAGGCAAGGTAAGTTACGGAGTTGTCGAAGTTCTCTTATGTGTTTATGTTACAGATCTTTGTACTGGTTTTCGGCATTCGGCGCCGCTAGTGACATCTAGTGAGATATTTTAGAACCTTCTCACCACGGCCGGCGACTAACGTCAATGTCGCTTTTTGATCAAATGTATAAATAAGCTGTTTTTGTGAAATAACTCTACTAGTTTTATTATGATTATTTATTAATCAAAGAACGAACACATAGAAAACTTTTCTTCGACCCGATGTGACTTTAACCCATAACCACCACCTACCACGCTATACCGTAGTGCTGCTCTAACCAACTGAGCTACAGGTCAAGTTATCGAGTTGGCGAAATTCTCCTATGTGATTTTGTTATAGATCTTCGTACTGGTTTTCGGCTTTCGGCCTTTCCGCAAAATTTTTCTTCGATTTTTCTACTTATCCCGTGCCAGTGTGTGTTTCATACTTACGTAACTTCGTCAGGCGGGAATAGCTCTTCAATCTCGTCCAAAATGGGTTTGTAACACTGTTCGCGCTCTGCAGCGCCTTGTGCACTCCAGTCGCGGACGATGTTCTTTAACACCGATTGTACCTGTAAACAAAAATAGTGCAAATATACAAAAATGGCCTGTAAAGTTCTATTTGTAGGGGTACCTATCATTAGTCGTACAGTAGCAAATTTTGTTACGAAAATTGCCTTTAAAAACAAAAAATACTAATTGCGCGTAAAGGTCAAAGTTGCCAAAAATATGAGTAGTGTAACTATCTGGCAACACTGGACCAGAACCACTTTTTTTAAGCTTTTCGCGCGCTTTTTTCTTTCTCGATAGCGTACCACCATCGTGAGCTCAAATTTAACATAGAACCAATTTATTCTGTAATTATTTTTAAATAATTATCGTTTAGTGACGTTTAAATGTTTTTACATTTACAACGATAATTATTAAAAAATAAAATTTAGTTATTTATATGAGATAAGATAAAATTATTTACATAGCAGAAGGGATTTGTGACTGAGCAATTGGATAATCACGGCCAAGCGAATCACTTATATTATTAAGTAAAGTACGTAATGTAGACGTAAGAATATTATGTAATAAAAATATATATTATCGTAATTATATTAAAAAAAAACGGTTTACACTCGTGTGTGACCACCCGGTCGAAAGACTAAAATACGGGTTTTTGTAGTATGTAACAGTTTTTACGTTTATATATATTACGTTTCGAATTTCTAAATTATGTGTTAATTTGAGGGTTCTATGGCCAATGCTCAATAAATAAATTTAATAAAAAAAACTACCCGGTCGACTTCGGGTGCGTCAGTGACGTAATTTTTGAAATTAGAAGCCGTTAGAGCACCGTGCTAGAAGCCGCTACTAGCGTGGTGTTGCCAATTTAGTGGTGTTACCAATAATGAAGTAGAAATTTATGTATTATATCGGCAGTTTTTTAAACACCCGGGCAATAAACTATTCCGGAATGCACTTGAGCAGTTTATATTTCAAAGATACATTGCGCGTTGTAGTAAGTTAAATACAAGAAATTTCTGTTTGTAGGAATTTTGTGTTATGTGGTTTCGAGTAAGTATTTAAAAGTAACCCTATGGCAACATAGTCATATACATACATAGATAGATAGATAGAAAATTCTTTATTGTTAGCACCACATACACAGAGAGATTACAGGATAGCGCTATGTAAATATTGTATTGCAAGTATTTAAGGAGGAAGTGTTGTTCATTATGTACCGTTGTATACCTTTTCAACATCATGATGCATCTTATGCTGTTTTTGAGACACAATCTCACAATTATTATAATCACAGCCAAAACTTTCGGTCCCGTTCGTCGCTCCGTCTGCACTATGCTCAACATTCTCGAACATCGTGTCGACATCTTTAATGATCATGTGAACAACACTATTGTTCACGTCTAGGCATTTTTTGAATTTCGTTAAGTATGTTGTGTACTTTTCCAGATGTTTCTGATGCGACATGGGAAGTGCGGAGATTATTTTCTCCGATTTGTGGATGCGGTCGAGACAGCAGAGTCTGGGGGAGAAAACTTACATTTATAAACATGAATACGAACAAAAACTAGATAATACACTTTAAGACTAATTAAACTTTTTAATCATATCCGTCACGCGTCCTACACACGGTGTCCGTAAGGGCGCATGCCCATTATGTCGTGACGATAGATATTCGTGCAATTTAAAGTCTTGTGTCTTGTATATTCAAATGAAGTTGTTCACACATAGAACGACACGATTAACTGTAGTTCACGACTTTTTTTTTATAAAATTCTGATGAGTCAGTACCATCTACCAGCAATACAAAACATCTTTAAAAGAAAAGAAAACTTTAAACCGTCACATGGCCAATATCTGAAACTAGTTCGCACGCGTTACAAAACTCCTGCTGCTCACATTTTTTTCAGCAACAGAGTGGAACATGCTACTGGAAGATGTTGTTTCTGCTGTCTCTGTGAATTAGTGCTACAAAAAGTTAACTAAAACAAATGATATAAATTTCAACACTGTGATATAGACATACCAGCAAAAGCTTCTAAGTTAAGTCTATAACCAAATAAATAAAATAATTATAATTGACTTTCATTCCCACACAAGCCTAATTCACATTGGGACACATATATCATAAAATTGCATTGCAGATGTGTGCAGGTGTGTTGTTTCAAGATGTTTTTATTCACCAAAAATTAACTAATTCCGAAAACTCAGAGGTGCATGACCTGATCCTAACCGACAACCCTCTACTAGAGAGGCGGTAGGCCAAACCATTAGTCTACCACAGATTTTTATACATGGTGGAAGAAAATACAGCAGCACTTTGTATGGCTCTAGGATGCTCTGGTACAGAAATAGAGACACAGCATGTGTGTAGAATGTGTGATAGGTTACAAAATTTAATTTGTTTTAAGAAAACACAATAAAATTATTGGGTCTCAAACTAGAAAAGGCTACAAGATCAATCAGACACAGCAGCTGAGTAATAACTAAGGAAGATAAGCATCACAGGACTACTCCAAGCCATATTAAAAATATAAAGACAAATAGCAGATGAAGTCAAAACTGTTTCTTATAACATCAGTACCAAACCTAAGATTGTATAGAAAAATTTTTACACAGGTTTTCTTGTCACAGTTTTCTTGTGCCGCCTCTCTGCAACTAATTATTAATTTATTCTGATTAAATTAATTGAGGGAGTCCATTTAGCTATACTAAAGAATAATTTGGACATTCCTTTCTACAAATCCTGGGATTGCTCAGAACTGATTATACTTTGATAATAGACATGAAACAATGTATATTTTAGAACTTTTTTTTTTGATATCAAGTGATGGGATGTACAAGTCATGCGCCTGATGGCAAGCTACATGCCTGTCCATAACAGTTGCAGTGCCACTCAGGGCTTTTTTCAACGAACTGAGGGGCACTGCCACTATGCCCATCATCCTGTGACTTAAACAGACACATCTCATGTGCCAGTAATTTCACCAGCACCCTTACCCTTCAAAACCGGAACACAGTAACGCTGACATTACTGCTTGGTGACAGAAATAGGTATGGTGGCAGTACTTAGTACCTACCCTGGATGAACTCTTTCACAAGGATCTCTACTGCTACTAGAATGTTTAGAAAATAAACAGAAAAAAAAATTACACGTATTGATGACGAAATGGGGGTATGTCCATACTAAGAAAATGTTCATACTTTAGATCACTGATCATTACATTTGTAAGATTTTTAGGAACAAATTAGGAATGCAGCTGATGGAGGTACATAGCTTCCGCCTAGTGCAGGTACAGAATGATAACATTGTATGAAAGTAAAGAATGCACAGTAAACCGCACGCTTACCGTGCATTCTCTTTTTTTCAATGCAGTATGATAGCCCACACAAGTTTAGGTCTGCTTTTGAATAATCTATTCTAGTTCTAATGCTTTTAAGCAAGCAAGTTAAAAAAACATAACACATCTTGATTTACTTGCAGTATGGTTTTAATGTTCTTGCAAGACACCATAAATGTCACCATTAATTTTGATGTGACATAATAAATTATTTTATTAGCACCCCATATCAAATGTAATCATAAACAAAACGTAAACAAGTCCTAACTGGAACAATCAACATAACCGAATATAAAATAGAACTACATGAGAAAACAAATAAATGATTCCAAACAAATGGTTCAAGTGAATTAGAGTCTTATTTACAATATCTAAGGTCGCCAGTCGGAGCGTATGATCGTACAAAGCTTTTGTAGGTATTTAATTGGTACATCCCGATATCTGAACTATGGCAAGGTAGATATGACAAAGAATTTTACTCCCGAGCATTTTGTTCTAAAAAACACCTATTATTAATTTTTTTTCTATTTACTTATACACAAATTAATTCTACAGCATGTGTTTAAGGTCTTAAGGCCCATAATAATAAGTAAAATTAAATTAATATGGTCTAAAATTGGTTTTAAAAATGAAAAATTACTTACTTGTAATATTTAAACGCGCTCACGACCGCGCGAAAATGTTCGCGCTCTTTTACTTCATCAATCTGTTCTGAAGGCGATGTGGAAGACATTTTTTAATTTATTAATCAGTTTTTAAGATAGAAAAATGGGATAAACTATTAAAGAGGCTAATTTCAAAAGATATTTTCGAGAGCAATGATGAAATCTTTGACAGGTATTCATTGACTAGTGTAGGGAAAAGTCAATAGTAGGATTAACAGGAAACGATACTAGGAACAGGTGCATAAGTTACAAATTCGTTTCGATGATCGTTTTGTAAAAGTAATTTAGGACAGAGTATTATAAAAAATATTGTGACTACGAATTTATATTTGAAACTTTTCTAAGCAAATAGTGTTACCAAATCTACTATTAATATATATAAAGATAAAGTCGTGTAATCGTTTAATACCCTTTTTACGTACCTATTTTATGATCATTGCAAGAAGTACCTTGTTGATTTTTGCTTGATACATCTACATCGTTAACATAAAATCACACTCTATAATTGAGAATCATTAATCTGAAATATTGTTTTTAAGCCGAATTTTATTGCTTTTGGGCACAGGTTGTAATTGTTAAACATCCTTGCCTAATTATTAATTAAAGATTTTTTTAAGTGATTTTATAAAAACTGTTTTTTTAATGGCATAACACTGCAAGGGAAACATTTCCTAATCCACATTCCTAATCATATCCATTAATGAATGTTTTTAACTATTAAAACTTTTTTATGACAATACTTAGCAACGCGTAAATCGGAACGTCACTTTATAGAGTTGTCTTTTTAGACATAAGATAATATTAATGATATGAGTGAATAATACATTCAACTATAATTAAATCACACGCTTTAATTATTTTTAACACAAAATAATGATCTAGACTCGTTCATAAATTAATGGCCAGAGATTACAACACATATAGAGAGTTTTAAACTACGAGGGAAAGTCCTCTGCTCGGCAGTGGAATACGATTGCAAGCTAATAAAAAATACCACAAAACTGAGGTTTTGATTTGTTTTGAGGTTGAAAAATTATATTATTTCTTTAAGCAAACGTAAACAATAAAATAAAAAAGGCCTTTTATTATTATTTATTTATTGAGCATTGGCTATACATATAGCAAAATTAATAAAAAATTAGTTTCAAAAGGTAACCATAAATAATGCAAATAATTAAGAAATTCAAAACATAATTTATATACTTAATCTAAAAAGTAAATTCGTATAAAAACTGTTACTGAGAAAGATCCTTTTCTTTCGTTTACTCTGTATACACTACTCTATTTGTTTACTTCTCTAAGCTTCTGTCAAAGGACCTCTGTGAATGGTGAACGTCGTAAAACGTTTCTTACGAGGATATTTGTGTTTTACCTTTGTTTGTCTGTTAGGGTAACAGTCAAAAACGTATAAACAACTTATTAAAACTTTACTCTCGCGTTGCGTGTTCAAAGATTGCTATTCAAATTGAATACTGCAATGTCACCGTAAGAAATAGAAAAATCAATAAATCCCAGTCTGCAGTGTTGTCGTCGCTACGCCGAATTATGGCATAATTATTAGTTACAAGTGCAATTTGTTTAATTCTTTCAACTACTTAATTTTTACTTATGTAAAAAATCAGTGGAAATATTGTGAAAATGGAAGGAATAATAGCGCATAGAGTGACTCCTTTGCTAAAATGCGTAGTGTTGTTTCTCTTCATATTCACTGCCAAAGTGCTCACAACCAAACCTCAAGAGACTGGAGACACCAGAAATGACATTCAACCCTTAAAAACATCTCACTATGTACGAACATTTACAAAATATCACCACAGAAGAACTAATCAGTGGAATAATCCTGAACTGTGGACTGATGACCAGCCTAGGGTAATTCAAAAAAGGAATGCCATTCCAGACACGAATTTTATTGGACAGGAAAGTAAAAATGGCTTTTCAAATGATTATTCTGTTGAAAAAGATGCAATTAATATAAATAAAGGGGATAAAGGCACAAAAACTCATGAGAAAAATAGTTTATCTAATGAATCTAAGAAAACTAAAATTAAACCTGCATTTATACCTACTGATCCCCCAAAAATTGTGACTTCCACTATATCTTGTTTGTACCAAACACGTAATGTGGCATTGAGTGCTACGCCATCTTATGAAGAAGATGAAAATGCTCAATTTATGATTGAGAATGATAACTACGGTACGTATAACTTTGCATGCTTCTATGGCAGCAAATTGGAAATTAGCTGCTTTCTTGATATCTTTGGATTAAAGTGTGAAAATAGTAAGAACTAATGTTGCCACATTGAATTGTAGGACTGAGCGTTATTTTCCGAAAGTGTTTCAAGAAACTCTCTTTCTTTTAATGTAAAGAAAAAAAGCTTTCATGTGAATTTCAGAAACGGTTACTAAAGAAACAACACTTAAAAAAACAAAATGGACTCGCTCCGCAAGTTATACTGCCCTGCTTGTCATAACTAACACATTCGCATTTCGGAACATTCTATATATTGGCACCTAAAGCTTTATTGTCACCTAAAAAAGTCAATTACGCTGATTTCACTTAACAATAAAACTGAAACTAATTAAGATAATAAAAAACCGATTAGATGGGATTGCCGATCTTGTTTCGCTGATCCCAGACATGTCAATAACTCAATTTCGTTAAAAATGCGATTACGTTACTTATGATAAGGATGGCAGTATACATATATGTATGTAGTTATTCATACCGTTTCACTGCTTCTTTGTAAAATAGATCTTATGCTAGGTGCATTCAGTTGATATTTCTATGACAAATTAGACCGCCTACAGTACTCCTGAACATTTAGTCAACCAGTTCTGTCTAGGCCTGGAAAAGTACGAATGGAAGTTAGTTTTTTTTTGTAAAAGCGTTTTTTTGTAACTGTTTCTGGAAAGCATTTCTTTTTAGGAAATAACCGTTTCGTTTTTCTATAAAGATGTTATAACTCAGCTCTATTAAATTACATTAAAAGCAACCAGAATCAGTTTGTCACTAACAATGGTGATGTAGCTAAAAAATTTATTTTTATATTTATTATCTCTAATATTTCATCTGAATCCATGATCATGAAATTTATAAAAGAAAGTGTAAATATAGGGTACCAGAAAAAAGGAAAAGCCCCTTTTAATGTAACAGGGTATGATTAAAGGGGTGCAAATAAAAATGAAAAATGACCTGTCAATGTCATAGTGACATTTAGAGGCCACAAGAAAAAACACGTATTTGAAAATTTTTTCCTCAACACCTGAATCAACCCCAAATTTTAGTAATAAGTTTATGGCTCTGTATATAATAATTGAATTGAAAATTTGCAGATCGTGGCTTAATAATAAACACAACATTACAAGATGGAGAGAAAGTGCAAGTGGAGCAATGCAAAGGACCAAACTCATACTGCTATACTCTGTGGCATGAAGATGACAATAATACCATCTCAGTTCTCGGACAAGGTTAGTAACAAAAATGTTGACTCATTACATCGCCCAGGTAGTGTGGAAAAACTGGTTAGATAATGCCAAGAGTAGGGAACAATTATCTTGGTTATATCTAGTTTGGACTCTCGCTTCTTCCGTAGCCCATAAATAAATTTTCATTTTTAAATGAGGTAGACTGTTTCCTCGGCAATGGTACAGTCGGCCAGGTCGAAGAGTCAGGCCCAAGAATGATGCAAGCTGTATCAAGTAATGTAAATTTTTGCATTTGTGTAAAAAGCAACATGTCATAGAAATTCAACCGCCTTGAGTTGTCGGCGAGACTGAGTGGAATTAACAGTACTTCTCATCAGCATCCAACTCTCCCCCTCTTTTGCCATCCACATCAAGTTACTAGCTAGCAATAGAGCTCTCTGTGAAAGAGTTCACGTAGGGAAGTACTGCCATTTTACCTATTACAGCTTTGATCTCCTCAGCACTTGGGGTTATATAAAAATAAGCTATTTCCTGCCTTCCTCTGGTCTTCCACCCATCTTATCGCAGCGCTTCCTATACTATGTTTGCTTTGACATGGTCGCCAATCTAGTATAAGTCTAGTTTTTCAGCCATCAACTCTCCTGCAGACATGACCAACCCAGCACCACTTTAGCTTGTAGAATTTGCGAGCGATGTCAGTTTCTTGTTCCAATTTCTTTATAATGGCTCCATCGATTTTCACAATGATTTTGCCAATGTCAGGGTTGAAAAAGACACTTTTACTTTGGTATGACTATGTATGGTTGGATAGCCGGAGATATGTTGGGTACGATGAGATTCTAAAAAGGGACAACACAAAAACACAAATATTTAAAAAATAAAATAAAAGGGGGGATGGGTTTATAAATATAATAATATTATACTGTAGCTACATATTTGACAGAAAATAGTTTTTAATAGACAAGGTAATTATAATTTCATATTGTTAATTTGGATAAATTTAGACAAGGTATTTACAAAAGGACTGTGAACTTGGGTCAAAAGAAATGGTAGAGTAGTCGTACAGGTGGACACTTATATTTGTACAGTGGAAAAATATATGATCTTGTTCTCTAAAGCATGAATTAATTTCTGCCTTCCCTATCATAACAAACACACCTAAAGCTTTTTTGCTAGTAAAAAATGTCTTAATTATGCTGATTTTACTTAGCAATGAAACTGAAACTAAATGAGGTATAAAAAAAAAGATTAAAGGGGGTTGTAAATCTGGTTTTGCTAGTATTAACTTTCGTTAAAAATATTGTCGATTACGTTACTTATAACAAGGAAGGTAGATTTCGGTCCACCAGAGAAAGTCCAAGCATAGCTTGCTTCTTCGCATGATAGTGCAATGTTGTCACGTCTCAACGTGATATACGCTCCATAAGTTATAACTGGCAGGATGCTTTAGGTAGGTACGTTTTAATCATCTGTTATTATTTATTTAATAGCCTTTACTACTGATTAACAAGAATAATAAAATAACAGATACATAAGCTAAACTTACCTACTAACTTATCTTACACAGAAACATTCCTTATTATTACTTATTATAAGTGTGTTTGCCCATTATATCCGATTCGTGTTCTTTCCGAATCCGAGACTACACAAATCTGGATAAATCGGACCCACTGCGGATGTCGCTTGTGCACTAAGTCAAATCCAAGAAAATACGAATATTGCTTGTACACCTAAAGATAAAATGATCCCTGGGGGCCTACCACAACCTCTTAAAACAATATTACTTTAACCTTATATTGACTTTGCGTACCATGACGCGCTTAAAGTAAGCTTATTATAATGTTAAAACTATAATGTTTTATTGGCAGCTTTGTGACTATTCATTCTCTCAGTTCATACTATGACGCGACTTTAACATTACAGTAGTATTGTTCTTATGACAAATTTAGCAAACTTAAATAGTTACATGGATGCAATGGAAACAATATTATTTTCAGTTTTATTGTCTTAATATTCATGTGTAATGATTAAAAGTTCAAGTTGAACTTATTTATTTACATATATATCTGTTCAATATTTTGTTTATTTTTTATTTAATAGGGCATAGGAAATAATTTCTCGTTAAATAAAAATACGTATACATACGTATGTTTATTTCATAAAATTATGATAGCGACATCTATGTATATGCTCCTTAGTGACACTAACAGTTGACACTAGACTCCAATTCTGAATTCACAACGTGAGAAATCAAGACTGCTTGTTTTATATATTTTTCTTCATGAAAATGCGGAAAAATAATTGAAAGCAACGTAATTTTAATAGATTTTACTCTTTTCGGTGGTTTACGACCACAACGAGAAATGACCACATCTTCAAATAACCACTTCTGAAATTGACCATTTCTTGAATTGACCACTTCTTGAATTCACTTCTTCTTGAATTGACCACTTCTTGAAATGACCATTTTTTTAAAAATTATAAATCGGTTTTTTATAAACGTAATTAAAAATTAAACGTAATATAAAAAATATCTTTAAACGTAATTAGTTTAGATAAATGTCTGGGCATGGTCTTAAATTGGCGAAAGGGTCTAAAAATAGTAAAAAAAATATAATTAAAAAATAAAATGGTCATTTCAAGCAGTGGTCAATTCAAGAAGTGATCAATTCAAGAAATGGTCAATTTCAGAAGTGGTCCTTTTTAGTCGTGGTCATTTCTCATTGTGGTCCTAAACCGCCGACACTACGATAAGACGATTCGGAACATCAAAAAAGTAAGAGATGGCATTATATAGTTCATATAGCGTTATTTCTATGCTATTTTTAGTAAGGAATAGACAATTAATATATAATAAGGGAAAAGACACTTCAGCAATAATACATTACCTGTTTGTCATGGTACCAATATGAGTAATATTATAATAAGCTTACTTTAAGCTTACATAAGATTGTTTTTGGAAAGGTTATGGTAGGCCCACTGTGACATTTCGGACCGTCATTTCTCAGATTTGGAACTGGCCCCGCATTCTCGTTCTCCTTCCGTTATCCGTCTGAATTTATGTGGTCTGTGGTCTGAAACAATTACTGTTAAATAACTCGGCTAAATTAAAAGACGCATGATGCAAATGATGCTTCATACTTCATACTTTTAATTTGGTCAAATATTACTTACTTGAAAGTAATTGTTTCGGACGTAGTGCGCTAACGCTCTTACTCAAATTTCAAGATTTTTGTTCCCAAAGTGGTCCCTACTGCCCCCCACAGTGGGCGCTGAAGAGTCCTAAGTCGGTCTTTGTTGACTCGGTACCTCCAGCTTGTCCTAAGACAGGCTCCCAAAGTGGACCCTACTGCCCCCAGGGTGTGCTGAAGGGTCCCTATTGCCCCCAATGGCCGCTAAAGAGTTCTAGGTAGCGACCTCGCAAACAATTGGGGGGGAGTTGATGCTGTCCAGGGGTGTTACCGCTTTATATAGGTACTCGTATATGTATATATATGTTTCCAATTATTTGGTGTGGTAATCGGGCGCTGACATTTTTTTATCTTGCCTAATTGAGCGGCCAGCCAACAAGTTCGGGAACCTATGTGCTAAGATATAGGCTTGTTCCAGAGATTTCCGTTTCTCCCTATCTTTTGCTATTTGCCTCCATGCTCCCTCAGTAACATATTTAAAGTCGTCTTTCCATCTAAAGTACTTCCCTTTCTTCCTTTTCTCTCTCTTGGATACCATTTTACAATATCTTTTGTCCACTTTTCCTTTTTTTTCCTCTCATCATGTGTCCTGTCCAATGCCATTGTTATTGTTTTACATCGAGTATGTAACCTGAAATAGAGATGAAATAAGGGTCATTCATTCCTAGTAACTCATCAGTGAAACATCACTTATAAATATCAACTCTCGTTTGCACTGAAATATAGACAGCGCCAACAACTGTCCTGTGTGTAAGTCTCCGTATATTCCAAAAATATTCTGTATTTATTGTAATAAAGATAATAACTCCAACAATGGCGTGCTGTTCCATTCGGTGGTGTAGGGGAAAAACAGCAAAACATCTAATTACAAAACAAACGGAATCAATTTTCATCAGTAATTAAATGTGAAATGTAATTTTGCAATTTTTGTCCGTTATAGCAAAGCTCAAGTTAACTGGTCGATCCAAAGTGAAACAAGCGCAGTTGTCACAGTAATGATATGGCAGAATAGTTTTCAAACAAATTGACATTTCGTCTCTATTTCTGGTTATACATTCGATGTTGTTTTATTATGTTGGGTGTAATTTATGGTTGTCTATGTGTGTGTCCATGGCACCCGCGACACAGGGTTTCCCTAGTGCGGGTCTTTGTTGAGTGTGCGCGTTAAAAAAAAAATTAAGTCTGTGACTTTTTCAGTCTTTGATTTGCTTTTAATTGTAGTTACTTTTACTCTATCTCTTAGTTTTATGCTGAGCACACTTTTCGTACTATTCTGACAAACATAGAGTTTTTTGGTCTATTATTAACCTTATCTATAAAAGTATTATGTAATTTGTATATTTACAGGTTGCTGGCGTTCAACCGGCGGCGAGAGCTGTGATGACAAATGTACTCGCACCCCACAACTGCCGGGCACCTTGTTCTGCTGTTGCTCTACTATGTATTGCAACCAGCATTTTAGTAAAGGTAATGTGACCTTTAGGCTCAATTTATATTGCGGCGGGACGGAATGGAAGCGAATTTTTTTAACGATATTGTACTGTAGCACAGTGAAATTTATGGTCATCGCGCCATCTCGTACTTGTACTGAAGTACCTCAGTTTGTATGGAAAACACGCGCCGTCGAACACACTGACAACGCTTTTCCGCGCGCCGTGCGGTATGGCACACTGCGCTCCGCACGCGCAGATTATTAATCAATTTGTGTCTATTCCAGTAATCAAAGGATTCCGTTGACATACGTTTGTAGTTGAAAAAATAATCTTCGTATTTTATTAAATCTCTGTAATGAAGTTGTTATCTTCGGTGTCTTTTTTTATTTGAGTGATCAAAAACCGAATAGACAGTATAACTGCAGCGTCCTGAATAAGTTCTGTATTATTAACCATTCTTGTCAAAGAAGGATCTCAGCTACATGTACAATCATTACGGCGATCAACTACGAAGGGAGTACTTTAAGTGGCAGATTAACGCGCGTGCGTGATTCCGGTGCAATGTGTTAATCGCCTTACGTTATCTATTTCTACCGCAAAACATTATTAAAGGTGTTATAGTATTATTAAGGACACTACTATCGTAATTTGTTTGTCAGACCCTTTGAATGCCAACTTAATAATAATTTCTTTATTTGCTTAAAACATGTTATAACACGAGACACGTGCCAGTACAAACATGTTTCGCATAATATATTAAATAACATGCAAATGTCCCCTTCGTGCCCGCAGACCATCTGACTGGTTCACCTATATGGACCTGGGTAATTATTTATTCAATTTAGTTTTAGCGAGAAATAAATATTTAGATACTTATAGCGTCTTTTAAACCCGTATATTTTTTTTAAACATAAAAATCGTGACCGGTCAATCAAAAGTATAAAATAAAGTTATGTTCGTATGTACTATTTTCATGTCTAACGCTCATAATACCACCGTCGAATTCGGCAAAATGGACGATGTCTAGCCCCACCAGTGGCCGCATCCAACCACTGGTGACTGCGTCCAACCACTGGTAGCCGCGTCCAACCACTGGTGACTGCGTCCAACCACTGGTCATTGGCTGGTCGTGGCCGTGTCTAGTGACCGCGTCTAATGGCCGCGTCTAGTGGCCGCGTCTAGAGGCCTCGTCGAGTGGCCGCGTCTAGTGGCCGAGTCTAGTGTCCGTGCCTAGTGGCTTGACTCAGTCACTGGTGGTTGCGTTTCGTGGCCGCGACTAGTGGCCCAGGGCGCTAAGTCACCTACCGCCTTGTATATAATATTGTGGTATGCAATAGAATATTGAGTATTTTTTTTTTACAGCAACTCTACAAGAAGAAACAGTAACACAAAAAGCAGAGTCCACGATGAACACAGAGCCCTTATTGGACTATAGTCACTACGTAGCTTGGGGAGTGCTTATCCTTCTCGCCATACTCGGGATGGGAGCTGTCATACATACGATGCATTGTCGCAAGAGACGATTGCTCGATGAACGTAATGAACTGGAAAAAGGTAAGTTGTCATACTAACTTTCGTAGTATAATAAGTCAAATAGTGTAACTCCATACAAACTTAGCAGCGCGGCTTGTATACCTGGTCTGCTTATACGCCCTCCACGCACCGTGAACGGGCTCACACATAATATTGCGGTACACTTGCGACATTCATTATAGATGTTTATAATGTTTTTTAACCGACTTTAAAGAAGGAGGAGTTTCTCAATTCAGCTGTTTTTTGTTGTATGTTTGTTACGTGATAACTAACTTGTGAACCGATTTTGATGATTTTTTTTGTTGGAAAGAGGGTACCTCAGTATTGGGCTCATTTAAATTTGAAGGAAACATCCCACCTCCAAGGGTGGCAAACTACTGGATGAACAGGTTTCGCGCCTTTTCCGGTAACGGATTTCAATAATACTTAGCATATAGATGTAGTTCCACGAACTTATCAAGTCGCTTTTTTTTATAAAAAAGTTACAATTGTTCTCAGTCAAATTTTTATATATTTTTTTAAAAGTATCTTTTTAGTATACAATGTGATTGTTTAACTGGGACGGTATGGGGAAATCCGAAATCATACGTAAAAAAAATAATTACAAATTTAAACTGTTTATTTCGAAAAATTACAAAAGTTATTTCACAGTACTAAAGCTAAAATTTTTATGTTCTAAAGTTATGCACCTTAGTAACTTCCGACCACAGCGACATCTTAACATTATTACTTATAATTATTAATACAAAGATCGAACACTCAGAAAAAATTCCTTCGATCCGGTCGGATTCGAACCGACGTCTTCTTGCATACCGTGCCAGACGCTATACCAACTAAGCCACGGAACGAACCAACGGACCTCACGAATTCTTCTATGTGCTTACGTCGTGTCTTTGTACTTGGTCTTTCAACGACTTTTTAGTCGTAGCGCCATCTATGAGAAATCTATTACAGATTTATCACCCAGTTAGTACCTTTAGAGCTACCAGACCTGGCGAGAGATGTCGCTATTCACTGTATTAATTAAATTTTTATTGAAATCCGACCGGATCGAAGGAATTTTTTCTGAGTGTTTTTTCTGAGTGTTCGATTTTTGTATTAATAATTATAACAAACTAGTGGAGTAATTTCACAAAAAATAATTGAATATCAGTTCAATAAAAATTTAATTAATTATTACTTATTTCAAAATCTACTATATTGACTTACACAGTTCTTATATAATATTACTCCTTAGCCAAGTGTCGTCTAATCAATCTGGTACACATACTTTTATTTGCTGTTTCTAATATTTGTACTACCCTGTTTAACACATCTAGAAGTACAAATGACCATACCGGGAAGTCTTTTGAAGTATTATTGTTTTTTTAAATGAAATGGAAATACCCAAACAACGCCCTAATTTGGGATTTTACGCCCTAATTTGTAGAACGATGTTCGTATTAGCACTCAAATTATTTAATAAACTACCGGATGCTGGTAAAGAATTTATTTTTGCAATCATTCTTATACTATCTTATATTTTTAGTAACAGTAGATCTCCTTGTGAAAGAGTTCGTCCAGGGAAGTACTGCCACCTTGCCTCTTTCTGCCGCTAAGCAGTACTGTGAGCATTACTGTGTTCCGGGTTTTTTTTAATGCGATGTAAGTGCGCATTTGACCTCCATCTCACCTGATGGAAAGTGACGATGAGGTCGACGATCGAGCATGCACACCTAAATAATGCCTATTCACTCTCGCCTTGAAAAGGTCCAAGTTATAACGTTCAGAGAACAAGTCTGCAGACAGGGCATTCCACTCCATAGCCGTTCGCCATATTAATGTGGAAGCGTAACGCTTCGTGCGAATCTTTATAATATCCACAACCTAGGTGTGGTACCCAAGCCTACGTCTGGTCCCCTGATAATGGAAAGGGGAAGGCGGAATTATATCGTGTAATTCCATCGCGATATATCCTGTAAAATACCGATAAGCAGGCAACTTTACGGCAGTGTTCAAGACTCTGCAGCTTCGTTTTCAAGGGTAAAGGTGCTGGTAGAAATTACAGGCACATGAGACTAGTGGAGTATATTCACAAAATATGAAATAAATAATTCATATCGATATTATATGATTTTTTTTATATTTCAGGTGATGTGATGGGCAGTGGTCCCGACGCTTTGGCTACAGGATTGCTTTGTGTCGACAACCTAACTCTTATCGAACATATTGGTATGTTGTTAATTATAGTCTGTTCCAATCACCGAGTATATAACCAGAAATAGAGACGAAATGTCATTGTCAATGTCATGTTTGAAAACTATTCTGCCATATCATTACGGTGACAACTGCGTTCCGATTGGCCGGCCCGAATCCAAAACAATTGACGGGTGTCGTCATTTGTTTCACTTCAAATCGACCAGTTTAACTTGAGCTTTGCTACAATGGACGAAAAATTGCAAAATTACATAATGAATATTTAATTACCGATGAAAAGTGATTCCGTTAGTTTTGTAATTAGATGTTTTGCTTTGTTAGAGATATTATCTTTATTACAATAAATACAGAATATTTTTGGAATATACGGGAACGTACACACAGGTCAGTTGTTGGCGCTGTACTATTTCAGTTTTCTAAACTGTGATTTCAGCGCAAAACGAGAGTTGATATTTAAGAGTGATATAAGGCCCATTTGCCTGATGAATTGGCAGGGATGGATGGCCCTTATTTCCTATCTATTTCTGGTTATATACTCAATGGTTTCAATCCACTGTACTAGAAAAGTAAACAAACAGATCATTGACCCGACCATAGACTGTTTAGTGATGACCAACTGTACTGCCAACTTCAAATCGATTAATTAATTGAATGAATCGATTTGTTTAATTGAATCAGTTGGAATAACTGGGTTTTATATTATACAGGCTGTATATTTGAAAGTGAGACATATTCATACATGTCATAGTAAATCATGTTACAACTTAACATAGACTGAAATAAAATTAGGATATGGGATAGAACAAAAAATAAATCAACAAATGTGTTTTGAAGTGTAGATAGGAATAAACCGATTCCCTTTACACTTAATTTCGAGTGCAATGGGAATGCTACCAAGCGAGCGCCGAGTGAGACAGCAACAATAACAATGATTTCACATTTACGTTTTAGGTTATGTTAATTGTTTTTTACTTGAACTATCATCGAAATGTTTTAGTAAATAGTTATCATTTAATAAGAATTGAGGTTTTTGGCGTAGTTAAAAATGTGAAATCAAATTAATTACAATGAGTGATTCTTTAGTTATTTACATTTTATTTACACTTACGTGCTACGGAGCAAGTGTTCAAAATGTCCACCGTTTTCCACAATGCATAGTCTAGCACGGCATAGTAAATTTTGTTTTAAATTGTACAACACAAACACATTTTGTCTCACAGTATAAAATGCTGAGATAATCCTCTCACGCAACGCAACAGTGTCGAAACACTGTTCACCTCCTCCGCGTAAACTCCGATTTGGGAACATTTCAATAGCTTGCCTCACACTATCACCACTTATTGCGTAAAGTCGCACCATCTCAGTCAATTCCACGTTAGAATAAATACCCATTTTGCGGCGATCGGGCGAGCGGAAGGACAAATAATTTACGTGTCTTCGTTAGATCAAGGTCGCGCGTGGACTGAGTAATTTCGCGTATGCGCCCGCGTTCTCACCCTCGACCTGTGCTTTGCTTTTCGCCGCTGCGTCGGAGCAATAATAGTGATGTGCATAGATTTCGATAACTAATGTTGTGCTCAAGTAGTAGTCGATAAAAAAAATTAAGAAAATATTTTTTGTAAAGTTTAAGTTCATTAGTTTATTATTTCTTTGGGTTGAGAATCAGGAATATAACGCACTCTACATATAAGTATGTCCCACTTTCAAATATACAGCCTGTATAAAATGGGATTTGCGATGTCGCTGTTGATTACTATAAAAAAAATATGATTAAATACTGAGTGATGATATTTCATACATGAGGTTAGAAATTTTTTCTTAGTTAACCGCAATAAAATAAAAGCAAATTTAAAATTTCCGATATCTAATTTTAAATCCTCCTTCAAATCCTTACACTTAGATATTCGTTCAATTCTGATTAAATTTTCGATTCACTAATTGATTACTAAAACTTTAATTGAATTAAGCGAATGAGTTACTTCCGTACAGCTCTATGCAACCATAGACATTCATGATTCTTTTTGACCTTCCTCAAAACGAACTAACATTTTTCAAATAAGATTTTTATATGTTATTCAAATGAACATTACTGGAAAAAGCAATGGGATATATAAATCAAAAACAACAAAATATACGTGAAAGTGTTACTTATTCCATTTATTGAGTGATTGCTTTAGAATTTTAACCAAACCGGTTTGTTTACTTTTATATGAAACGGTAATAAAAAAAACCTATTTCATTGATAAATAAAATGAATGAACAAGCCATTTGGCACTTTTTCAATCAACTTGTTATTATATCGATTTATCAATCATCATCATATCAGCCGGATTACGTCCACTGCTGAACATAGCCCTCAAAGATTCCCAGATTAGCCGATCGGATGCGATGTGCATCCATCGGTTGCCTTACCAGATCATCCGTCCATCTAGTAGGGGGCCGTCCCACTGAATGCCTTCCGGTTCGTGGTCTCCATTCGAGAACCTTTCTGCCCCAACGGCCGTCAGTTCTACGTTCGTTCTTTTGCGGATCTCCTCATTTCTGATTCGATCACGTAGAGAAATGCCGAGCACTGGTCGCTCCTTAGCTCGTTGAGACCTCAAAGTCACTCAATGTATCGATATACACACATCAAAAAAGTTTGCGATCAATAGCATAAGCTCCTATAATTCTTTAAATTTAACTTTATCAAGAAAAAATCTATGTTGTATGCTTTCTTTAAATAGGAATACCCTGTTTGAAATTAAAATATAAAACTATTTTTTATTATTTATTTAAAAAAATTGAGCCATTAATCATAATGTAATAGTGATAGAAATTTCATAGAAAGAAAAAGACTGTTTAATTAAACTTAAACAACAATTTATTATTAAAAGGTGTGAATTCAATATAAAATAACTCCTCCCCTGGCTCGAATACATGCGAAGATCCTCCTGGGCATGCTGAGGATCAAGTTATCCAGCATTTCCTGGGGTAACCTATCCCATTCTTCAATAGCGGCTTCCCTGAGCTCTGGAACTGTCTGGGGACGTGGCTCACGGTTCCATACTGCTCGTTTAAGAGCATCCCACGCGTGCTCTATTGGGTTTAAGTCGGGCGCGCCGGCAGGCCAGTCTAATCGTGTGATATCGTATTCTTGAAGAGCAGCATTGACTCGTTGAGCTCGATGTGCGGGCGCATTATCATCGACCAGTACAAATTGGTGCCCATGGTTTACTCGGAATGGTCTGACGATATCATCAATAGCAACTGCTTTGTACATGTCTGCTGTCATGAAGCCCCGATACGGGATCAAAGGCGTTCTAGCTCCAATCATAATGCCACCCCAAAAGGACACCGATTTTCCGCCTTGCTGAACTGTTCCAGTGGCAGTTCTTTGTCTTTCACGGTCGCCTGGTCTTCTCCAGACACGGACACGTCGGTTATCTGGATGAGTGCTGATTCGGGATTCGTCAACGAAGAGACAGTTTTGCCAGATGTTTTCGTCCTCACCTTCTTCATTTTGCCGAAGTCTAGCCCACTGCAATCTTCGTTGTTGACGTTGCCGGGAATTGAGCGGAGCTCGCCAAGACCTCCGTGCTCGTAATCCAGCCTGGTGCAAGCAATTGCGAACGGTCTGCGTGCTAACTTCAAGCCCAGAGGCGGCCCTGACTTCTGCTTTTATTTTAGTGGCGTTGATTGTTGGATCACGGGCTGCCAGCAATCTAATATAGCGCTTTTGGGCAGCTGTCAAAACAGTTGGGCGACCGCTGCGGGGTCGGTCAGCTAAATTCCCCATTCCGTGATACCTCTGCAACGTAGCCACGACACAGGATTGGGATATAGCAAGTCTGCGTGCTATTACTCTCGTGGTGTATCCTTCTTCCCTCAAAGTTACTATTCTAGCTCGTAAAACCTCTGATAATCCTCTTGGCATTTTTTCAATCACAACTTTCCGCGAAAAATATCTTGAATCGCTTATAATTGACTAAATCAGATTTCTGAATGAGCGTAAGCTAGGACTGAAAGCCTTTTTATATGAAAAAACAATTGAACGGGGTCATTGTTTTATGTTCTAATTTATTTTTAAATAAAGAATCTAAAAAGAAGAAAAAATCATAATATAATCTACAGTAACAAAAAAGATTTCAGTTTTTCGAAGTGATCGCAAACTTTTTTTGATGTGTGTATGAATACCGTCAGAAAAATCTTATTGAAATTATCTCGTGTGCAACCTGACATAACTGTTACGTATCTGATTGCTATACGGTGTGAAAGAACGACTCCTCAAAATTTTTACGATAGAAAAAAAACACAAACTTTCTTATAAATTTTACAAAAAAAAACCGCGGTATTCAATAGGTATTTTGCATATACAACTTATGATTTTTTTAATATCAACTGAACTGAATAGAACACGAATAAGTATACGATATACATTTTTGAAATGGCTTTAATTTTTTTTTTAACAAATTCTAAAATAAAGCCAGTGTCCCTCCGGTTGACACAAGCAAAATTAACCACATTATCGAGTTCTTAGGTTTTCGCGATTTTTACACATGGGAAATTAAACTATTTTTCCGGATTTAAATCGCGTATATTTGTTTTTTCAAACAAACCGACGTTTCGGGCCCTTTACACACACTACCCTTTTTTTATAATATCAAGTGATGGGACGAACCAGTCGTGCACCTCACGGTAAGCTACGCGCATAACAATAGCAGTGCCACTCAGAGCTTTAAATCGCGAAGACCTAGGGCACTTCCACTGCTCCCGTCACCCAGAGACATAAGTTGACAAGTCCCACGTGCCTATAATTTCACCAGCACCCCTTACCCTTCAAAACTGGAGCTCTACTGCTACTAAAAAATTCGAGCTGTGGTTATATCGACTCTTCAGCGGTAGACCTTGATGTGCCGAACAAGGCGGTAGTTACTTATTATACTATGCCAAAATTGTCTGCATTTTGCTCAACGCCTTAAAGATTCCAAGTGTACCTTTCTTTTTTTTTCTTTAAATTCTTAAGTTCTTCTTCAGCTCATGTAATCGTAAGTATTATTTTTTCAGGCCAAGGTAAATTCGGGTCAGTATGGCGCGGTAGTCTTGGTTCGACTCCTGTTGCAGTCAAGTTGTACTCTAACGTGGGTGCATGGCAGAAGGAAGCTTCTATCTACGCTTTACCGCATTTGGCGCATCCTAACATCCTTAGATATTACGGTAAGTGATAAGTCAAATTTGTACAAATTAATTTCTGACATTGACGTTTGTTCTACATAGAATTTGGCTGGACTGTTGAGTGGTAAAATCGATTTAATTTAGCGGCGTAAAATTATTTTTCAGATGTTTAAAAAACACTAAAATACAGCGTAATTAAAACTTTGTATTAATTTGCAATGCATTTTTCGTCTTAAATGCATTTTTGGTAAAAGCGCTAAATGCCCAATGTGCATTAAAATGTACTAAATATATATTTACTACATAATTACATGCTTCAGGGCCCAGCAAGTATACTCTCGGTTTTGTATGATAAAAGTATTTTTCTGGATACTCTATGGTCATTACAGAATATGTAGCGCTAAATTTTAATGCGATATAATTATTAATGCAAAGATCGAACACTCAGAAAAATTCCTTCGATCCGGCCGGATTCGTACCGACGTCTTCTAGCATTTTTATGTGCTCGCGTCGTGTCTTTGTATTTGGTTTTTCAACGACTTTTTAGTCGTAGCGCCATCTATGAAATATTTATCACCCATTTAGTACATTTACAGCTGCCAGTCCTGGCGAGAGATGTCGTTATTCGCTGTATTTTAATTTTTTATTGAATTGATATTCAATTATTTTTTGTGAAATTATTCTACTAGTTTGTTGTAATTATTATTGCAAACGAGAGAATAAAAATTTTAAATTTAATGCGATATTTTCATAATAATGTATACTGGGCGTTTACCTGATCATAGGAATAATATTTTCTGCGTCTGAATCACTCTACGTATTATGTACATTTTGATAGACACGGGGCCTTAGGAGGATATTACAGAACAAATAACCATTTAACTTCAGTAAATTTTATTTACTGTGTTATACACTTTTACAATAATAAAAAGACGTCCAAACCACCGAGCTGGAAAAATGCGTGTATCTTTATATAACTATAATTTTTACTTAATATTACAATTGTAACGAATATTATATGTTTCTGATCTGTTGTAACACATTTAGTAATATATCTTTTTGCGACCTGATTGTGAGAGTAATTAATAATAATAATAACGCACACACTCAACATAGCCCGGCACTAGGGAAACCCTGTGTCGCGGACATGCACATTGACAACCACAAATTACACCCAATGTAGACCATACAAATATTACCTCTGCGTGGCAGTCCGGTACAGTAACCGTTCGGCCACGGAGGCAGTTAATTAGAAATAGAATGCATGTCACGTAAAAATTGGAAATGTCAGAGTACCCATCCTACGTGAAGTGGACCATACTGCCATCTGCTTTCTAAAACGCGGCAAGTGACAAAATATTTTTTTGAGATAAAATATCATAAAAAAACCATAACTCACTTTTAGAAAATTGAAATTGTTTAATGATTATTCAGCTACGCATCGTTAGGGTAAGTGCCGATAAGTCGAACAGGTTAACTAATTTTAATTGCTTTTAAAAGAGAATTTTGTGCTCTACAGTGGTGAGGCTGTGAAAATTGTCTTTAGTAAAGCCAGAGCAAAACAAAAAACACTTGTATTAAGAAGTGTTGCCTTGGCGACTAGTAAACACAGCACTTATTAGCACACAAGAAACTAGTAACATTTATTGCACTGGTTAATTATTGTACACGCAAAAGTGAGCACAAAATATAGTAAATTACTTTATCTACACACACATCATAAACACTCTATAATGTGTTCAAAAACCGCAAATTACGACCAGCATAAAGATGTTTTGTTAGAACAAATTTCTTATCTGTGAAAATGTTGTTATTGTTTCATAATAACGTCGAATTCGATTTTATTATGACATTCAAATTTCGAACATCTCTGAAAAACAAAACAATTTCAATCGACCACAATTCTAACATCAGTCGAGATGAAGTTTTATTCGAAATGAAATGTCAATAGCAAACACTTTTGACAAATTTCATACGTTAGTTGATATCGAACGTTAAGAGCTCTCATGCCAAAAAAGTTTTGACGTTGGCTCGGCCCAAATTTGTGAAACAAATATATGCCTAAAGTTCGCGTGACATGCGACAGGAGATGTTGAATTTTGCGCATTAAAAGTACCAAATTCGTTTTAGCGGAATAACTCTAAAACTAAGGGGATTCAAAAAAATCCGTAGTGACAGTTGTCGATCATGCATAAATATAATGCATTATCTAATTTTTGTCCTAATAACCTGTAGCATTTCGAGGATAAATCGAAAAAATGTGAAAATTAGAGGTCATTTCGTGATTTTTATCTATCGAGGAAACTTTATTGTTTTATTTTTCTGATTAATGTCTATGCTTGAGTTTATCGTATAGTTACTCATACAATATTTTATTTTTAACTTTAAAGTGGATATACCCCTGTAAAATCAAATCGAAGATTAGGAATTTTTCCTCTGCTCCCTCTTAAGATAGTTGGGTCCGATTATAGTTTGTCTATGAATTAAATAAAAACTACGGTTGCGTGAGATGTGCGCGAAAAGTTTTTATTTGCCGCCATTTCGCCAGCCGTAACATGCGGTTCCTGAACACATCATAGAGAGCTTAAAATATGTGTATAAATAAAGCAGTGTATGTTGCTGTACATAATAAGGCATTAAACACTCGTGTGATGTTTTTAAACCTACACTAGTATTTTAATGCCCATCATTATGTAACAGTGACACAAAACTACTATTAAAATATTTATAATATTTCATAATACGTGGAAAATTTTAGGCAAACCAGTGGGAATCGAGTTATATGGACGCCTCGCCACTGTTGGCTCTATCTTTTGCTATTTTAAACGGATATTTGACCATTTGTCACTTAGTCGCGCCGTAGTTAGCGGACGGCAGCATAAGCCACGGCACGAATGTAGTGTGAAAGTGTCGGTCGGCGCAGGAAGCGACTCGCGCTGCACGCTAGAGGGCGCGCGCGAGCCCCTGATCGTGGTGGAGCTGTGCGCGATGCCGTTGCGCGCGCGCCTGCAGCAGGCGCCGCTGGCCTGGCCGCTCTTCGCGCAGCTGGCGCACGGGCTGGCCTCGGCGCTGGCGCACCTGCACACGCCCAGTCAGTCCTTCCTTCCTCTTGTTTATTTATTTCCTCGAGGATATAACCAGAAACGGACCTTATATCACGTTTAAATGTCAACTCTCGTTTGCGCTCAAATCATAGTTGAAATAGTACAGCAACAGTCTCACTCTCTGACAATGGGGAGCTGTTCCATTCAGTGGTGTGGCAAAAACAGCAAAAACACAACAAACGGAATCACATTTCATCGGTAATTCAATATTAAATTGTAATTTTTTAATTATCGTCCATTGTATGTAGCAAAGCTCAATTTAAACTGGTCTATTTGAAGTGAAACAATTGACGACACCCGTCCATTGTTTCGAATTCGGGCTGGCCAATCGGAGCGCAGTTGTCACCGTAATGATTTGGCAAAATAGTTTTCAAACAAATTAAATAACATTTCGTCTCTACGTCTGGTTATATACTCGATGATTTATGAAAACACTAAAGGGTTCAGTTTCAGGTTTGACAGTATTAGTTTCTGTTTAATTGGGCTGCAAGTATGTAGAAAACAGTAGCCGTACCCTTGAAACCTTGCTTTTGTGGCTATAGCAGAGATATTTACATATAGCTTAGATATTTACATAGCTACATAATAATATAGTCTGCCTTTTTTTAAGACGGAGTAAAATGATATTTGTGGGGTTGCCAGTTTTCACAAAATTTTTAATAGTTATGTAGTTGTAGTCGATACTTTTATCGATACAGTGAAAGACGATAAAATTTTGTCAAAAATTACTGATTTTTTTAAAATTTATTTATTCATAAAAATCATTATTTAACCGTTATTTACTCCCGCGAAACTAGAAACTGTTGTTGGCAAGCATGCACACAAATATAAGCAGTTTTTTTTTTATAAGCCGGGATTAGCTGGTCGTGCGCCTGATGGTAAGTTCACACCTCTGCAACAGGTCAGGCCACTCACAACTTTAAGTCACAAAGATCTGAGGGGCACTGCCACTGCGCCCGTCACCCTGAGACATAAGTTGACAAGTCTCATGTGCCTGTAATTTCACTAGCACCCTTACCCTTTTAAACCGGAACACATTAATGCTGACATTACTGCTTGGCGGCAGAAATAGTAAGGTGGCAGTACTTCCCTGGACGAACTCTTTCACAAGGACCTCTACTGCTACTAGTTAGTAGTAAAACAAGTAAGTTATTCTTAATATATAACTATAACTAAGTAGGTACAAGTGAGAAGGTATTTCTTCTTAAGATTACATGTAAATTTAATTTCATGTAATGTCATTTAATGGCCTCTTTTTAAATTTTACTCTGATTATTTGCTTACAACGTAAAGGACTTCCCCTTGACTTGTGAATATTAGGATAAATGCGTTATCGCCTTCTTCTTCTTTATTCTTATTTTGACAGCTGGCCCACTAGTATCGAGATCATTTTTTATTCGTATACATTTTAACAAGAGTTCTCTATATCTATATCGTAATTAAAACGAAAAACTTTCAAATATGTCTCCTCTTTGTATTTTTCATAAACATAGTTAGTTCTAAATACAGTGTATGTATGAACTTACATAAATAGATATTTTAAATGAACTTGTGCTCAGTAATTGGATGAATCGGTCGAGGATGACCCAAATGAAACGAGTTCGGCTATTTATTCCATAAGCGTGTCCAATATTCAGTCGATAGTCGATAGAATATTTATCGACTGCAATCACCAGCTGCTCGCAACACTTTTGCGTAATTAACTATCCTTTTAATCCGTCTTCAAAAAAGACAGACTATAGTGGTATTTACATGACCTCGCAAATCTGTACATTTCTACGTTCTCTGTCATTAATTTAAAAGGCTCCCCTGTAAACTTGGCAATTTCGACATACTTTATGTAGAAGGGGTCGATATTTCTACTTTTGAAAGAACAATTACTTTAGTAAATCCATACTAAAATAATCGACCTCACAAGTTTGTGGAATTACATCTTGTTACCAAGTTTTATTGAATTACATCTTTTTGTCAAGTTTTGTTGAAATCGGTTACCGGAAATTGCGCGAAACCGGATTAATACCACCCTTAGAGGTGGAATATTTTCTTCAAATTTAAATGGAACCAATACTGAGGTGCCAACTTTCCAACAAAAAATAATCCTCAAAATCTGTTCACAAATTACGAGTTATCGCGTATCATACATACAAAAAAATAGAGTCGGATTGAGAACCTCCTCCTTTTTGAAGTCGGTTAAAAAAAGTCCTGTGCATTTTGTCAGGTGGTAGCAAACCGTGTATAGTACACCGCGACGTGAACAGCAATAACGTGCTGGTGTGCGGCGGCGGTGCGCGCTTGGCCGACCTTGGACTGGCACAGGCGCTGCCGCAACGAAGACACGCGCACGGCCACCAACCCGCCACGACCAGGATCGCAGAGGTAGGCTGGGACATTTCATCATTTGTCACCGGCATCGAGTATATAACCAGAAATGAGACGAAATGTCATTTAATTTATTTGAAAACTATTCTGCCAAATCATTGCGGTGTCAACTGCGCGCCTCTTGGCCAGCCCATATTCGAAACCATTGGCGGGTGTCGTGAATTATTTCACTTCAAATCGACCAGTTTAACTTGAGCTTTGCTATAATGGACAAAATTGAAAAATTACATATTTAATATAATTTTTTTTTTAATAACGCACACACACAACATAGCACCGCACTAGGGAAACCCTGTGTCGCGGGTGCTATGGACACATACATAGACAACCACAAATTACACCCAAACTCACGAGAGAAATAAATGTAGGCCATACAAATATTTCTATCTATTTCATATTTAATTACCGATAAAATGTGATTCCGTTTGTTTTGTAATTAGATGATTTGCTGTTTTTCCCACACCACCGAATGGAACAGCCCCCATTGTTAGAGATATTATCTTTATTACAATATATATAGAGTATTTTTTGAATATACGGATACGTAAACACAGGTCAGTTAGTAGCGCTGTACTATTTCAGTTTTCTAATTTGTGATTTCAGCGCAAACGAGAGTTGATATTTAAAAGTGATATAAGGCCCATTTGCCTAATGAATTGGCAGGGTTGGATGGCCCTTGTTTCGTCTCTATTTCTGGTTATATACTCGATGATTACATGGCTGTAGTATAGTATCAACATAGTACACTTCTAATAAGACAAGTTGTATAACTGAATTGCAATATTTATTTTATTGAATATCATGATGATTTAATGGCATGAAATTAATTCTTTTTTTTAAATATACTCGTATTTTATTGCAACTTGGTAAAAACGATGACCACGGTGTGGCAACAGGAGCTGGTTCGAATTTAGCCAGATGACGGAATTTTTCCTATTTTTTTTGTGTTATTCGTGAAAATAATAAAACAATATAATATGATTGTGAGATAACTTCTAACAAGCCTTCTGTATCGTCATAGGTTTGTTTATCCTATTTTTTTTTATTATATATTATGTATATACTTGTTTATTTATTTTAATTTTATTTTTCTCACACCCATAGCCCCGCACTAGGGAAACCTTGCATCGCGGGTGACACGAACACACGAGAGAATTAAATGTAGGCCATACAAATATATCTCCCCAGCCCACTTGCAAAGTAGAAAGAATTTAATTTAAAATAAAGAAATATGCAAAGGAAACAGAAGATAGTGTGATCCACAGAACAATAAATACAGCAGAAGTGGTTAGTTAGAGTCTGACGCGTGCCAACTATAGGTCTCGAAAGACCTATTTGAGCCCAGTCCGCCATTTTAGGTTTGTATGGTGTGGCTGTCATTATTTCGTGCAAATTCTCTATAATCCTAGAAGAATGCCTTTTTGTGCTGTTTTGGAGTATAAAAATGAGAGCCGCACCAAAAATATTTATTACCCGTGGTGGTATTTCATATTATCGGAAAGCCTTATTTTAATAAATTTTCTGCTTATCGAAATATTTTTTTGTTACAAGAAAGGTAAGTAAAGCTTATACCCCTACAATATGGTCACTTCTTTTTTGGAGAACTAAATTAATAACTCCAATTAGTTGTAGTTCAGTCATTAACCGCTAGATGGCAGCACATTGATTGACATTTCAATATATCATTAAAACGTCGTAACTTGCAATAATAGGTATTGATGGTATTGAATTTTCAACTATATGCCAATAGGGTAAAGTTTAAAGTACATTAACAATCCAAAATTTGTTATGTTTGTTTTTTAAATTTGAAACTACGAGAAATCAATGTCATGATTTTATAGTGTTTCAAATGAAGAATCTATGAGTTTTGGCGACATCGGTTCTGATAGTAATCGAGGCTTAGGGCGCATTTATTCGACCGCGTGCGTCTAACTGTCATGGCAAAATATGCTCTATTTATTTAGATTTTTACGTTTTAACTTAAATGAGCGTCCCGACCACGCGGGCGAGACTGGCTTGAATTAGGTCTCCGCGGCGGTAGTATTATTCAGAGGAATTTACATGTTATTCCCTAGTAGATATAATTCAGATTCGGCATTAATGTACATGAAGGCGTGGTCATTGGGCGGTATAACTGGGCGCTTAAGGCACTTCCATTGTTTTTTACTTCCGTGGTGTGTCTGTGTTTGTTTAGGGATATGGATTCAAATGGAGTGATTGCGTGTGAATGTTTGAGTAAATAATTTTCGCGCAAATCTTGCGTAATAATGATAGAAACACTCAGTCCACATAAATTTTATTGTAGTAAAGTTATTTTTATTGTGTTAAGGTACAACGAAGTAGGGAAAAGGTGAAAGAAAAGAAAGAAGGAACAGGTTGTAACAAAAAACAATGGTGTAAAAACAGGTACAATAATATAAAAACATTCCGTAGAGATTACTACTTGACTTAAAGACATTCTCCAATTCTCGATAGACATTCTTCTCGAGAATTTTGATGGGAGTGACCACGGAACGAAGCAAAGTGAGAATGATGAAGAAAAAGAATTAGAGAATGATTCAAAATTTCAAAAGTAAGCAGCCAGGAATCAGAGAAAAGTGTGATAAAAAGGAGGGATGTCGATGAAAGAGGTCGCATCATCACAAGACCTCACCCTGATTCCTCCACGCACCCCGATCCTGAGCTAACTGGACCCAAGCTTTACCGTAGGCGTCCAGTTCGTCACACCATCGCGTCCTCTGTCTACGCTTTTGGGGCTCCACTGGGTGGTTACCTTGGCCCACAGGTCTTCAAGCATGCGGCAGACATGACCAGCCCAACTCCATTTCACCTTCGCAGCTTTTTGGGCTACATCAGCAATCTGTCGAAGTCAAAATCAAATAATCATTTATTTCATAGGTGAAATTTTTACATTTGAAAACGTCATTTTTTAAGCTACTGGTCGTTCACTACGCTGACAACCCTGAGAAGAACGAGCAAGAAACTCTAGGGATTGCTCTTTTCACATAAACTTAAATGCTACGGAATACACTTTGAATCATATTTGTGTGGAATTTAGACTCTTGTTGCCTTTCCATACTTCTTTATCTAAAACATACTCTTCAATTTTGCAATATGACTTTTCATTTAAAATAAGATGTAGAATCTTGTTGTAAAAACTTATACCCCATAAAAGAATCGTTTACCTTAGTTAAACGTAATCGTGGTACTATGAGTTTGGGAGCGCAGTGTCGTGTTCCGAATTTGGTCGGACCGGTGAAAATGGTAATAAAAAATGACGATGAAATAGTTGGCATCGTTACATTATGTATTTGTTGTTGGCTAGGCTGGCACGCTGCGGTACCTGGCGCCTGAAGCGCTGGAAGGCGCCTTGGATCTAAGCGAGGCCCGTGCCGCGCTGTGTGCCGTGGACGTGTTCGCGCTGGGGCTGGTGCTGTGGGAGATGCTGTGGCGCTGCAGCGGCGCCCACGCCGGGCCCGTGCCGCCCTACGCGCCGCCCTACCTGCACCATGGCCTGCCGCCCAGGCCTACATTGGCGCAAATGCAGGTGAGCTCCTTGCATCGAGTATATAACCAGAAATAGACACGAAATGTCATGTAATTTGTTTGAAAACTATTCTGCTAAATCATTACGGAGACAACTGCGCTCCGATTGGCCAGCCCGAATTCGAAACAATTGACGGATGTCGTCAATTGTTTCATTTCAAATCTACCAGTTAACTTGAGCTTTGCTGTAATGGGCGACAATTGCAAAATTATATATTTAACAGGAAATGCAACTATTTTTCCGAATTGAAATCGAAAACATTGGTTTGTTTGAAAAGAACAAATATACGCGATTTATATCCGGAAAAATAGATTCATTTCCTATGTGTAACAATCGCGAAAACCTAAGAACTCAATATACATATTTAATATTTAATAACCGATGAAATTTGATGTTAGATGTTTTGCTGTTTTTCCCCACACCACCGAATGGAACAGCACGCCATTGTTAGAGATAGTATCTTTATTACAATAAATACAGAATATTTTTGGAATAAAGATACTATCTGGCGCTGTCTATATTTCAGTGCAAACAAGAATTGATATTTATAAGTGATGTATCACTGATGAGTTACCAGGAGTGCATGGCCTTTATTTCGTCTCTGTTATTGTTATATACTCGATGGCTCCTTGTTACCTTGTCCTTAACAGTTACAGTGCGACTCAGAGCTTTAAATTGTAAAGATCTGTGGGGCACTACCACTGCGCCCGAGACCCTGAGACATAAGTTGACAAGCCCCATGTGGCTGTAATTTCACCAGCACCCTTACTACCTAATTTACGTTAATGACCTCCCCCACCATATTGATAACCAATGCACTCTTTTTGCGGACGACATTTCAATGATAGTACCGTGTTCTAATACTAATGAATTAAACAATAAATTGGACTTTACCTTGGACAAAATTCTAAATTGGCTAGGAATTCATAACTTAAAAAGCTCCCCTACCTTTGAATTATAGTTATAATAATCAGACATTAACTACTGCTGTCACTGCTACACTACTGGGACACGATCTCGACTCAAACATGAACCGGAAACCGTTTATCCGTAATCTGACTAACAAGTTGTCATCTTTCATATGGGCCATTTTCAAATTCTATGCAGGTGATTGTAACTTTAGCACTTAAAAATAAAAATATTATAAACTATTTCTAGATAATTTTTTCCTTTACCTTTGACCATAGTATACATCAAATTTTGAAATCCTGTTGTTGGTCGCGATGTTTTTTTAATAATTTTGAGTTTTTTTTCTAGATTTAATGTCTCAAGGCGTAAATAAATAATACTCTGTTACCAATGCAAATATTTATTTTTTTTAATAAAGAACACATTAATCACAAATATTTTGGTATTATTGTTAATTACAGTCTTTAATCTCTCAAAAACACGCAAAATCAGAATTTGAAACTATTAATAATGTTTATTTAAATAGAGTTTTAAACAACTCTGTTACTTTATATTTATTAACAAATCTTAAAATTTCACCTTAATTCTCAAAAAATCTTTTTGTTAACATCTTATAACGTTGTATTGAAAATTATGAGTCTTATAAACTGGCCTATAACACATTTATAATATTTTAAGATCTAGTTTTACTAAAAAAAAATATTATAGACAATACATCTTTGGGACAGAAAATTAACATAGTTGTAAATCAGTAACTTAGTTGTTTTTTTGTATTACGGCTAGCCTAATAACTTGTACTATACCTAAATTAATGTTTAAAATTCCAACATGAGACATTGCATAATTTAATATTGTCATACTTAAACATTACTACTACATGTTTTACTTTTGCGTCGTTCTCTGTAACATCGCTGCTTTTCAGCAGGCGTAAGAGCCATCTTAGTACAAAAAGTCCTGAAACAAATTATTTATTACCATTGTGTATAAAACTTGTGGGTAAAGACTGAAAAAATACTACTCTGTTACTCAGTTTACAACTCTGTTACTCGAATTAGTAACACAATTGTTCAGTAACAGAGTGGTAAATTACATATCCCTTAAACAATTAATCGCAAAATAAGGTATAAAGTAAAATTATTGTTTCATATTAAAGATATTCACACCTAATACTACTTAAACAATGTAAAATTAAATAGGAAATACTGAGTACTTACGCAGAAATATTGGTAACAGTGTGGTTCCTGAATAAAAACACGCGCCTTTTTTCACAACGCGCGGTCAAATGACCGGCGTTGCACTCTCCCTCCACCCCCGCGCACTTTCTCGAACAATCTTAGACACCACGCCAAGTTGATGTAGGTGGCAAAGTAGCGCCATCTGTATTTCTGGGACTAATTTGCTATAGTAACAGAGTGTTGCTATGATAATGTGTTGAACGCGGGACAGAATTTAAAAAAATAGCAGGGAACATAATTTACTACAATCTTTTGTATCTAAGCATTGAACATGTTATGACAACGTCTGTATTTGGTAATCATATTAATTTTAATTTATCAGTGTAGGAGAAAAACAAAGTTATGAACGTATGATTGTACTGTATTACTATTCGGGACACTATGACTTTGTATGGAAAACAACTCTGTTACCAAAAATAACCATAATGTTACTTTAAAAAATGGAAAAATAATGAAATTATATAATTATTTTTCATATAGCATGTGTTGTTTACTAATTTATTTTTAACTTATTAACTTTAGTTCGAACAATTTGTTTTATTTAAGTAAATATATACATACATTCTTGAGGGACAAGATAACCTGCGACGAATTTGAAAATGGCCCATATACGCCCTACGTCATCTAAAGCGTGTAACTGATTTTAAATCTGCTCTTACGGCATACTATGCGTACTGTCACTCGAGGTTGTCTTATGGCGTCATTATGTGGGGAAACACTGCTAACGTAAATGATGAATTTGTACTACAGAAAAAGTGCGTTAGGCTATTGACAAATATAGAACAGAGATAATCTTGTAGACCTCTCTTTCAAAGATTAGGCATATTAACCTTAACGGGTACTTGGCACTTGGTGCAACGGGCTGGTTTCCGCAACTCGACGACAAAGCGCCTATTTTGCGTGACCTTAACGGGTATTTATATACTTGAAGCGTGCAAATTTATTAGAAACCATCCCACTTTATTTACTCCGAAAATTTAAATTAAACGTAACAACAGAAACGTACATCAACTACATGCACGTAGTTTGTTCTGGACCGCAAATTATGGTAACAAAAATTTACAATTACATAACAAATTTATATAAAATAAATTCAAGAATTCAAAATTTTCTCCAAACCTCGAAAATAATTCCTCGTAAATAGAAGTTATTACAATATTAAAGAACTTTTCAATGACGAATATAATTTATTATACATATAAATAATTTGTTGGTTCTCAATTAATCTTATGCGTGTATAATTATAATGATTTATTTAATATGATAACAATTTTTTTGCTTTTATAATGAGTAAGTGTTCTCATCACTATGCTGTGCCTTTACAGAATGTCACATGTACATTTTCAAGCCACTAAGTACTTAGTATAAGTGTGATAATGCAATAAATGAATGAATAAATGAATTAATTTTTATTGAAATTTTTGTTTAACCACCAAGGTTAATATATTTATTTATTTATACTATATAATAAAAAATATATTTATTTATTTATACATTTTAGAAAAACTTCGAACCCAGCCGGATTTCTAAGTGTTCGATCTTTGTATTAATAATTTTATCAAACTAGTGGAGTAATTTCACATAAAAAATAATTGAATGTCAATTCAATAAAAATTTTCGTAAAGATGATGAAGTTGAAACACGTAGAAAATGTGAAATCTGCAGAGCCTGGTGTCACGCAACAAGGCGCGGCCGCCGCTGCCGCCGGGCCCGGTGGCGGAGGCGCGCGCGCTGAAGGTGGCCAGCGACACGTGCGACGAGTGCTGGGACCACGACGCCGAGGCGCGCCTCACGGCCGTCTGCGTCGAGGAGCGCATGGCCGAGCTCAAGCTCATGCTGCAGCACCAGCCGCTGCGCCACGACAACAACCTGCACCCGCACCCGCCGGGTTAGTCGCCTCAATCGAATTCACCCAACCCTATTATAGTTCGTCTTTTTTGAAGTGGAGTCAAACGACACTCGCAGGGTTGCCGGTTTTCATTATATTTTAATTAGTCACGTTGTAGTTGTCGACAATTTTATCGATAGATTGTGAAAGTAGGTAAAATTTTTGCCAATTGTGAATTTACTGAATTGCGAATTTGAAATTGTATTTTTTATTCTAATTTTGACAGTTGATCTATTAGTATCAAAATAATTTTTTAGTCATACACATTTTAATAACGACGAGCAGATTTGAGAATTAATTTAAAATTATTTTTTTTAATACACATACTTTTTTTTACGCAACGCAAAAAAAAGAAAAATATTTATTGCCTGCCATCTCTAGCGGCTTGCAAGCGAGCAACACTTTGAACAGTCACTTTACTCCGTCTTCAAAAAACACCGACTTTGCAAAATAACAATTAAATAAACACGGGGTAGAGATTTGAGACAAGTCAGCAAGTCCTATAATACATAACAAGAGAATGACTGATTATTATTAAATGCCCCTATAAAATGCATTGTAAAGTTTTTTGTGATTTCTGATAATTCTAGTGCTAGTACCTCAGTTGGTCCCATAGATTTTTGATCCTTACCACAAATAGGATGGAATTTATCTTGCTAACTGTGCCATTTATCAATATCTTTAAAATTCATGGACAGTCTTCTAGAACCATTTCCCTGTAGCTATAACGATTAGAGTAGCTAACCTTGCTGACCCATCTCAAATTTCCACCCTGTATATAGATCACGTTGAACTAACATCAAGGTATTTGTTTATCAGACACCGGCGTATCACCACCAGAAATGGACAAGAACTCCAATTGTACCGCAACCCAGTGCGATGTCACCACACCCCTCCTTTACCCGCAGCCTCACATAGGTCGAAACGCTTGTATCGAACGTAATACACACACAAACGCTCACTCGCAGACAGTCGAGCTTATACATAAAAGCTTAAAGGACATAACGTCGCCCCCTGAGGGACCCCGAGTGCTAAACGTTGAAGAAAACTGCCTATCAGTCGCTAGAGTTAGTAACACGCGTCCCGTTATGTTCGAATTTGAGAATTCTGACCGTTTAAATGAAATAAGATCATATCAAAGACCTTTGGAATATGTTCCAAACGATGTTAGCTCGTGTGAACAAGATCGAAAGCCTAAGCAAACAAATTTGTTACATGATGTCAAAATCGAAAAACCTAAATGGGGTATAAGACGGTTTTTTGAAAAGAAATTGAACAAGAGTTCAAAAGTTTTGGAAACAGAAGTGAAATTAGTACCAGAAGTTCAAAATGGGAGAACTAAAACTTCCATTGTGACCGAAAAAGGTACTGATAGACCAAGTAATTTGATTCTTGAAGAGAGGGGCTATAATTTTGAAGTACCTTGTACTTTATCACCTCCAAATAGAACTTTATCTCCTACAATGTTAATGGAATCAGATATGAATAGAGAGAACAGAGTATTTGGTTTCAAAGAACTCCCTTCAAGGGATGACAATGAACTTAAAAATCAAAATCAGATTTTCGCCGTCATTGTTCCTAAAGCGAAACCTGCCGATTTCGGTCTCATAGAAATGCGCAACAAGAATGACAGTTCTGACAGTGTTAAAAACTCAGTACATACATCGAAGTCATCGCAGAGTATTTTCAAATCAGGCCATTCAGAATCTGAGGACTCGACAGGGAAAAAACGTTTAAGTTGTGATAACAGAATTACAAACAGCGGTCGGTCATCTAGAGCTAGTATAAATTTAGAATTACAATACATTGATAATAACCCAACAGAGAATTTTGCCGAAAGTCCATTTGATTTGAATTCAGATTGTTCAAGCAGTGAGGATGAACATTTGATGCTATTATCTGAAAATGGAGGATCCAAAATTACAATGCAAACAATACCAAAGCCAGAGGAAAAGAAAAAGTACCAAAACGAAGTCTTAAAAGACGCAAGCCATCGCACCGATATAGGTTTTAACAAAATAAACAAATATACCAACCTGGATAACGAATTTAGCGATCCCAACGACAAAGAAAACTTAGTTAATGGTTATAGTGGTGATAACCCAGTATACCTAGCGGCTTTGAAAGGTGAAATTGATACTTCAGACTTAAAATTGATGCAAGATAACGGAAGTCCTAAATCACCAAAACCGGCGTTGAAAAACTTAGCTATAAAACGGCAACATTCTTTAGAACAGGTTAGTGAGATATTTTCGTCTTCAGGCGAAATCAATTTACAAAACCCTGCTGGCAGGGTAAAAACTCCAGGTGATTTACCAATAGCCATACGTAGGGCACGTAGAGATAGAGCGTTACAGAAAGGTAGAACAAATGAATGCAATAGATTAAGCCTGTATGATGATAGAATGATGTTCGGTAATAGTTTGTAATTTTTAGTATTTTAAATAATTGTAACGTTCACTTTTCGTAATTGTATTTTGTATTCTTTGAGGGTAGTGTGGTTGGTTTTTAACAGACTTCAAAAAAGGAGGAGGTTTTGAATTCGACTGTTTTTTTATATGTTACGCAATTACTCTGACATTAATCGCACCACTCATGGAAGAATGGCGTAAGTGAAGTTACGTCAAAAACGCTTATTGCTCCATTAGTTATAGAAAAATATAACCCACATCCTCTCCAATTCTTGTAACTCTATCGACTAATATTGTAGATAGTTACAAGAATTGGAGAGGATGTGGGTTATATTTTTCGGATTTGTTAACCCATTTCGATGATTCTTTTTTTCCGGTGGAAAGGGTACGTACCCCTATCTACTTCCACAAGGATCTCGGTAGATCCCAATCAAATTGAGGAAACTGTTCCACCTCTAAGGGCGATGAACTGGTTTATTGAACTTCCACGATCGATTTCAGTAAAACGCAGTTAGAATTATAGATTTTGAAATACCAGAAATAAAATAACCACAAAACCGGAACAATTTTACCTTTCAATACCTAGTTTAAATCATGTATAATAAGACAATTAGTGCCTAGTACATTCCGCTCAGAGCGCCGGGCTGTCACATTATTATTTTCCTTGTACCTACAGGTGGTAAACATAATTTTCGTCCTATATTGAAATAACATTTGTTAAATGCAGTAGGTATTTACCTACGATTGATCCTTTCTATATCAGCATCACGGATTGGCATCTCGATTATGGCGGTATGATTATGAAATAGAAATTAGATGCTGAACAATTGTAATTTTGAGGCATTCTTGTTTAAAAAACTTGATGTCATTTATTAACCACTTTCATTTCTATCTACTATTTTATTGAGTTCTTTATAATATTTACACTTCCGTTTACGGTAAGATCTACAGTTGACATCTGTTTCCGTTATGACAGTTCCGTTGCATTATTAATGTGTACTAGCGAATCTCGGACAAATCGATAGTTGCACTATCTTATATTCGATTTTCGATTTAGTCGTCTTTACCGAAAAATAATCAAATATGGTTACTAAACTTCGTTTTAATCCATTTTGAACAAAATGTAAGCAAACAAGTCACTGACCCGACCATAGACGGTTTAGTGATGGTCAATTATAATGCCAACTACAAATCGATTAATTAATTGAATGAATCGATTTGTTCAATTGAGTCTTACTAGCGGTTTTCCCACATAACCTATATAAGCATATTTAAAATTTCCGAAATCTTAATTTTAAGTCCTCCAAATCCTTACACTTAGATACTCGTTCGATTACGATTGAAATATTCAGTTTACTAATCTATTACAAAAATTTTAATTGAATGAACCGAATGTTTTTTTTTCGTACAGCACTATGCATCCATAGACAAGTCATAGATGAAAAATAACCTCACTTTTGGACTACCATTTTTCAAATACAATTTTACGATGCTATTCAAATAAATATTGTTGGACAAAGTGATGTGATATCATGTCGAAATCTTCGAAATATACGTGAAAGTGTTACTTATTTAATTAAATACTATAAAGACCTCAACAAAATAGTTCTCGACAGGGCTTGTTTGGTTTCATAATTTAAGTGCATTTATTACAACAACACAATATTACTAAAAAACGCGCGCTCTACCGTCAAGTAATCCGCAACAGCCCCTGATACGTCGTATACGTTGTTAAACTCCGATGAAAACTCCGTTATGAATTGTTGCGGAAGTAGAAACGGAAACAGATGTGAAAAAGCGGGAACTCCCGTAGTTGCGGAAATAGAAGCACAGGTCTGTTGCATCACTACTATACATACAAGTAGCGATACTGCCTTTGTTTGTATGAAGTTACACTACTTGTCTTATTACGCTATGTTTGAACTGTGTAAAATAAAAATTTGTTCCCTTTGGTTCTTCTAAGGAGATCGAACGGTTGGACCGTCAAGAATTTTTTCCCTTTTTAGTCCTACTCAGGAAATGATAAATTGTTACACCATGGAATGAATCTCAAAATTTTCTTAAGAATCTTATGTTTTAGAATCTCTAAAAAATAACCACCCTACCCTAAAATCAAATTACCTTTTATTAAAAAAAATATTAATACAAGTATGTTTTAACGACAGCGTCAGTCTTCGTAAAAAATTCCAATATAAAAATTAATAAATCCTTCTTAATTGAGTGTCAGTATCTCCAAGAACACTTCATAAAGTAGGATTTTATAGCGACCTCGCCAAGGAATGCTCCATGGCCAGGCCGTAAAAATGTATTTTCGCATTTAGATTTTCAAATTTAAGTGTCATTAACTTGCATTTATATATAATTAGCTTTTAATATTCATTGTTATGAATTGCATGTTTCATTATTATGTGACACTTCACGAACACATTAAACAGTATAACAGATTTTCATGTTATCTAGATTTTGCTCAGCATCTGCCTAGGATGAGAAATTCTAGTATTTGTATTTAAATACGAAAAATTTAAAAATGTTGGCAATCGGTTAATGGGTTCTATAGGGAAAGTTATTTAGTGTAACACGTAGAGAGTCACACTAAGAAATTTCATTAGTATTTTTTATACACGTTTTGGTGCGTTCACTGTTAACGGTAATTTTTATTCTTAGAATTATTCGTTCAGAAATGAAGATAAAAAGGGACTTATTCTATTTTAAACATTTAAATTTTCAACAACCTCAATTCTGCTAATTTTCTAAAAAAATACTGGTCATTGCAATTCCATTGGGACTGCACTGAGATTATATTCCGTACGTATATATACTACATATACTCACGCCTTTGTGTTTCTATACAGGGGTAGGCAGAGCTTTAAGTGACACAGTGCAACTAAAGCCACATTTGGCAAATGTTTGGGTTAAGATTGTATAATCTTGTGTAACTTAGTGCACTAAAGTGACAGGTTGCCCGTCTATCGCCTACATATAGAACACTATTGAACCCAATTCCTCAGTCGACTTTTAGAACTTGCAGGGGATGATAATCAGCTGATACCTTCCATGTTTTTCTATTGGTTCCAGATCAGCATGGAACGGTTATATTCCAATTATGACAATATTTGTTATTCTGCTGAAATCTAGTTGCATTGGCAGGTGAGTCTCAATAGAGTGACATTGCTGTCCTCCATCCATATATCCGTATCCATTCATTCAATCACTAACGTTCGATGTCGTCTTACTAAAACCACCATGGAAATTACTAAGCATATCTTAATTTTTATCCCGTTGAATCAGTAATTTAGTCTTCAAATTAAATATATATAATATTAGTAGATTACGCCATCGATTTGCCATTGAAGAGCAGAATACCAAAAAAATTGCAATGGCAGTTGAAGAATAAGTAGCTCGGTGGCTAACCACTGACAAGCCACTACTCTACTTTTCGCAGAATACCTATACTTACAAAATCCTGCCATTGACATTATCAACACACAATTGAGATTTAAAATTAGCAGACTTAGGGCCCAGATTATTTCAAGATCGTTGTCCAGAAGTAATTCGTTTTTTTTTTTCACAAAATAGATACCTCACGTGACATTAAAAATGTGTATGAAAAGTACATGAGAAGGAAAATGTAACAACTAAAAAATTAACCAGTTTATCTTGTACCCTGATAATTTTTCCAACCCATGTGATAAATTAATTTATATGCATTGTAGGAAATGAAACTATTTTTCCGGATTTAAATCACGTATATTTGTTTTTTCAAACAAACCGACGTTTCGGGCCCTTTATAGGTCCAATGGTCACGGTTGACTGAGGTGGTACAGTCTTCAACCAATTATGTCTAATATTAATGCAAACCACCTTATTTTTTCACTATGGTTACAATAGGTATTAATTAAATACCTTATGTTTAATTTTACAAAGAAAACAATCACAAGTTACGCTACATTAAGTTTTACAAATTATTTTATTGAATGAATTTTTATAAATCCGGAAAATAGTTTCATTTCCTATGTGTAACAATCGCGAAAACCTAAGAACTCGATATATATGCATTGTTTTTGTAATGCTTGTGATAAGTAATGTTTTTTTAAATGTTATATTCTTACTAGAACTTTCCCACTGAATTCTGTACTACTGGTGGGACAACGAGGAATTTTACTAGGGTTTTTTAAAAGTTATTGATGTGAATTCGTTGATCAGTTTTTAATATTTGAAAAGGATGAAAGCGGTAGTTTATTTTGAAACTAAAAAGAAAAGATTTTTCAACCGAATATTGTTGTCCTCAACACGAATTATCTTTAACAACTTTATACGACGGCTTGGCTTGTTAATTTTCGCGAAATATGCCTATGTCGCAAAAAACAAGAGGAGTGTTATAAATATTCAGCGTATCAATGGGGCCTACTAGTGGAACAAAACTATAGTACTACAGGATAAAATGTTAGAATTTTAAGTTATTCTGTATATTTGTTTAAAAAACTGTACAGTTTAGTTCCTAACCTGCCATGTTTTGTTAAGTTTGCTGTGACAGTTTTTATTTTAATTTTAATAACGAGTACAGTCAGCAAAGTGTGTATTTTAATAGATTTCTATTGCATCATGTGTTAGTGCACCTTATTTTTTAAATAATTAAGAACGAATATTGTAACTCTAGCATTCGGTCAAGGGTTTATTAAATATATTTTTAAGAGCCAGCACTGTAATTACACAGTATTAATTTTATATAATGAAAATGTTACGCGGTTGTATGGCAACTGAAATGCTCATCGCCAACAAACTGAGGCAGTTGAAAGTTTCTTTTTAAACAGCAACAATATTAAGGTTAAAAAGATTGCGCTACAATTTTTTATTTTTAGTTACTAGTCTGAGTTAGACTATAATGGTAAGCACAGACTTGTCTGCATCGCGAAAATGTTAGTTTCACTATATTTAACACACATATTTGTAAAAAAATATTATAGACAGCACGCTCCACGTATGCACTTTTGTAAGCCTTAGCGACGGTTAAATGGTAAATAATAATAATTGTTTATTTCAGTCCGTAGCTTTTACACTTCAACCGTCTGTATATTATATTTATCGCGTGAGTTGCGGACAGATCTGTGGTAACCTTAACAAGCCAGCTTTATAACACAAAAGACATAAAACCCACCACAAATTGTACGATCGTTAGAGTGCTACGCACGTGTTAACAAGCTTGTTGGAAA